ATGTATTATAATAATAATAATTTAATCATTGTTATTAGCTGTTCAATCTGGTGACAGGTTTTTTTGGTTTTAATAATCAGAATGTCCTATGAGTCATTTATGGGAGTAAATTTTCATATGTAGCCATGAATACTTTGTAAAGGCAAAACCAAGGGTCTTACCCTTTTGTAGATGCTTAGAACATATTAGCATTGGTTTTTGTGAATAATTATCTATTTTAAATTCTTACTAGTATGATAGAGGAGTGAGCTGTGACTTTTGTTATTATAGGATTTTTATCAGTTCTTGTAAATTAAGCAACTTTAGAATCTTGAATTATACTTCAAAACAGTTTAGGTAGGTCAGAAGTTTTGATCATCAATATCATATTACAATTCATTATGGAAACAGAAGAGGGAGGGCTAGTACAGGTATAAAAACCATGTTGACAGAGTAGCATTCATTGTCAGGTGGAGAACCCAGGGACTATAGGGATCCTCTAGATTAGTATTCCACAGCTCAGTAGAGGCTTTTTATGGTAAGGGCTGCTCACAAGTGGAAAGAAAAAATCCCATACAAACTAATGTGTATAATATATAACTATCAAATTTTGTATTTCAAACTACTAAGAATTCAAAGATACTACAAACTTGCTTTGGGAACATTAAATGTTCATTTTAATTATTTACTGTAATTGACTATAAATTGAATATAAAAAGTCTTCTCTCTGAGTATAGATAAGAACTTAAAGTACTTTGCAATTACAACAACAAATTCTCCAGCTACCAATGGGGGTGTCCAACAATTCAGTTTATTTCTGAACCCTCTAACCCAGACACAATGTTAAACTTCACAGGTGTGTTGGCCCAGTTACAAAGACTACCGCAAGATCAGGTGCTTGATGCAGTACCTTCAGACTACCTGTGAACTGTCCACCTAAATAATCAGAAAGGAAGTATGCTTTTTAGTGTTTGCCACAAAGGATTCATGTGTGGAATATGATTTTAAGATGTGTTACATTCATTTATGCTGTGGAATATTTAATTATGCAGATATGTTACATTCTTTTATGTTGCATCTGTTTAATGATGTAAAGCTTTTTAAAATACCTGATTGGTCTAATAAAGAGCTGGATGGTCAGTAGCAGAGTAGCAGAAAGGATAGGTGGGGCTCGAACACAGAATAAATAGGAGGAGAAATCTGGGAAGAGAAGACCAAGGAGGGAGAAAAGGAGGAGAGGAGGATATCAGGGGCTAGCCACCCAGCTACACAGCCAGCTACAGAGTAAGAAGTGAAGAACAGTATATGGAGTAGAGAAAGATAAAAGCCCAGAAGCAAAAGATAGAAGAGATAATTTAACAAAAGCTGCCTAGGAATAAGGCAAGGTAAGACCGGACATTCATAAGAAAAAAGTAGTTCTGTATTTATTTGCTGAGTGGTGGGCCTCCTCCAAGAGCAAGGAGTGAAAAAAAAACAAAAACAAAAACCAACAGCAACAACAAAAACGAGATTCATGCCAGGAATGAATGGAGGGATACCAATGGTCGTTGTGGTTTGGAATGCACAAAGCTGTGGTACTCATTTTCTGTACAATATCCTCTTGATGTCTTTATTAGCCTGGAAGCTCTCTTTCCTCCATTGTTCAAAGCTTTCCCCCCTTATTTGCTGCTCTAGGTTATCACTAGGTAGACATGATCCATTATTATCCCAACCTTCTGTCTCTGCTCTTCCCCTGATGTCGAGGTGGTAGTTGCTAATGACAGTTCCATTTGTCTAGCTATGTGTTGTGTCTCTGGCACTCAGTTCGTATTTGGAAACATTCTGGGAGTTACCTCATTATAATATAAGTATCTGTTGCCATTTGGGCATTTCTAATCCAGAGGACTCAGGAGCTTTGTGTCAAAAACTGGGGACAAATGCCAAATATATATTTTGTATGTTATAGAAGCTCTTAGTTTGATATGGCTCTTAGTTTGATAAAAGGACACAACACACACACACACACACACACACACACACACACACACACACGTATCAATCCCAGGAGCCCAGTATGTTTGGTTGTATTTTGGAGTCTGCATGTGTTTTCAGTTTGATTTATATGTCACAGCTCTGCACCAGGCATTTCTATCAGCAATTGTGTCTCCTCATTTGCGATTCAATTCTCATTAATGTTCAGACCCTGAGTTAGTAACAAACCAAAGGACTTAGCAGTTTGATCTTTTTTTCTGATTAATGATAGCATAATTTACAGCCACATCTCATACAAATACTGAAAATCAGAACATGAAGTCAATCAAATGAATTAAAGCAATTAAGTATTACTGAAAGATGTTTGGGGAGTTGACTTTTTTTATGATCTAGCGGAACTTTTTAATCTGATGTTACCAAACTGCTTTTCTAGGTTATATTCCCACTATACACATTTGAATTTGATAATTTTTTCTAACTGAAACAAATTGTAATAGCTTCTAATTGTGTGTGTAGGGGGTGTCAATATTGTTTAATATACAAGCAAGGTTCCTTCTTCAGGGGAGATCATCATGTGACTGTAATCTGCATGCAAAGTGCTTCTCTGAGACTAACAAATGTCTGAGCCCTTAGCCCTATCCCTGACACAACAGATGGATGATGAACCAGCAAGTGGAATGGCCGTTGCCAAAGTCAGAATTAGTGGGGTTGTAATTCTAATCGGTATGTCTGTCTCACTAGCGTGTAGACTTCAGCAGTGGCGACAGGTTCCAAAAGTGTCACTGTGCTTTCATTTTGAAAATGTATTCTTTAATAATTTAATATGTTATGATATGCGATCACCGAGAATAATTAGGATAACAGACAGATTAAATTTTAACAATCAATAGTTCTACAGTTACATAAAGTACTAATTTGCAGCTTTCGTGTTTCTCTTTCTTATGTAATTGGGGCCCTTACTATATTTAGATTTTCATGTTTTCATGTACTTCAGTCAGTTCATCATTAATATTTTCACATCCAAATAAAACATTCCCTACTAATACCTATTTTTGATGTCTAAGTTGTAGTCACCTTTATAATCATGACTTTATATGCTTAAGTATTCAATTGTCAACCCCAGTTTTCAATATAAAAGCACTGATGTAAGGAGCATATTACATATAGAGTTTTCTGTTTAGCACAGTTTTAGTGACTTATTAAGGGCTGGGGAGGTTGATCAGTTATCAATCATGGTGACTCAAGTTCAGATCTCCAAGCCCCATCTAAAAAGCAGGTGTGTTTGTGTGTCTATAATCTTAGTGCTGGGGAGGCAGAGATAAGAGGATCCCTGGGCTTTAATGGTCAGCTTGTTTAACTAATGGGCAAGATCCTTGGGTCATTGAGAGAGACTCCGTCTCAAAAAATAACCAAGGAATTGATAAAGAAGACACCCAACATTGATCTCTGGATTTCACATGTGCATGCATAATTAGGGTGCTTGTCACAGTGTGCCATTTTGTTTCCTAATGCCAGGATATCCGATAGGTTCATGTGGGGGCAAATCTGAGGAGTGTGATGAATTCTCAGATCGTTTAAAAGGGAAGTGCGTTAATAAATTATCCAGGAAGGCCTCAGATAGCCATAAGGGAGCTGGGGCATCATAACTGGTTGAAATTCATTAGGAGAGATTTGAATGGAAAAGAACTTGGGTAGTGTATCTTTACTGTATTAGAGGATTGGCCTAAGAAATTGAAGTTAAGAAAATATAGGGTATAATGTGAAATTTTGTTAGGAGGATCAATGTGGTAACCAGATACTCTGAATATTTTGAAACATTACCTGGTCATCTCTGAGCTTTGGGAAAATGGGTTCTAGGATCCCCTCAAATATAAAAATATTTAAATGCACAAGTCCACCTTATAAAATATTATACTATTCCCATATAATCTATGCACATCTTCCTTTGTATTTCAAGCCATCATTATGATACCTAACCATGTGAATACTATGAAGAGTCGTTGTATGGCACTAAGTAATAACAGACACAATAATCTGTACATGTTCAAAATAGGTAGAAGGTTTTATTCAAATAGATGTGATCTGTAGTTAACTGAATATATGCAACAAAAGTAGAAACTGTAGTTATGAGCAACTACTGTACATTAATTACATAGAAAACATTTTTAGAGTAGGTTTTATGTTCAGAGCCTCTGTGGTAACCCAGTAAAATATAGAGGAAGCCAAAATGTACTGACCCTTCACTGTAAATGAAGATTAAACTAATTAATAAAACTAAGGTCAGTCGTACACCATGTTTTCCCTTTCAGCATATTCCTATTGCAAGACTGAAATGTTAATCGTTTGGAGAAGTATACTCGTGGCAGCAATTGGAGTAGCTGGAAGTTCAGGATCAAACAACTTCAACAATGCAAATATTTGAAAGATTTTTTTTTGCTTATTTGAAGTTATAATGTAATTACATTAATTCCCCCTTCCCATTCCTCCCTCAAAAGCTTCTCATATACCCCTCCTTGCTTTCTTTGGAATTTATTTCCTCCTTATTCGTTAATTGTTTTTCCATGCATATGTGTATATGTATATACATGTTGCTAAAAGCAACATGCTCAGCCTATATAATGTTATTCATCTGTATGCTTCTGGGGCTCACCATTTGGACTAGATAGTCAGTTGTCGTATTCTTCCCTGGGGAAGACGGTTTCCTCCACTCTCAGTATTTCTTACTTTCCTGTAGCTCTTTGTATCTAGTTGAGGACTCTGAGATATTCTTTTCTAGTAATGTCAGAAGCTATACCCATAATGTCTCACTAATGTAACTAGTTAAACATGAGTTGAACAAGGGCAACAATAGACACACTAAGTGGACAGTGAAAACTCATGAGGTCTCATACTAATTTTTTAATTCCTGCGAATTTTTTTTGTTACTTGGAACTAATTTATATTATAAACTTTTTAATTAGCACTCCCCTGAAAGATCAATTTTTTTTTCAAATAAAGCACTCTGTGAAAGTTAAAAGTAAATTTTGTAATTCTTTTTCATTATATGATAGGGACAAAAGGCAAGATGGATGTTCAGACGTGGTATTTGAAAACTTCAAAGCTGGCACTGGCTTTGGCAATTATCCACTCAAAACCAGCAGACAGAAGCAGCAGAGAATACACAGAGCATCTTGCCACCTTGGTGGCCCAGAAGGAGTCCAAATGTAAATCAAAAGTTGAAGCTTTAGAAGCTGAAGTTCTACAATTACGTCAACAACTTTTCCTCAGCAGGATTTCCTCAGGGTTGTTTAAGAATGGTGAGTATGTGAAATAAATCAGTTTTCAGTAATTTATAAACCGATTATCACCATAATTCACTAGAAATTTATCACAAAAATCTGAGAATGTTTATTTCCCTCTTTTGCCCTGTATAACTTTAGTTATTTTGTTTTCGTTTTGTTTTGTTTTCATTTTAGTTAATCAGTATAAGTTATTGTTACCTTCTGATGAATGGAAATACATTAGACTAGGAGATTAATTAGCAGAATTAAAATACTCCAGATGTGAAAACAATTGTTTATTATTGTTGTTGTGTTAATGAGGATTGAACCCAGGGCCCTGGATATCTTAGAGCAAGCATACTACCACTCAGTAACAATCATGTTTGAGGATGACTGAAGAAATTCATTTTAAAATTTCATTCTTAAATGCAGTTGTATTTTTTATGTAATAGTTGATGTTTATAAAGTTCCAGTTCCTTGTGAATAGTTAAGCCCCCAAAATATATAAGATGAGGGACTATTTTCTCTCTTGATCACCTACCATTCTAGTGGAAGAAACAGACCTAAAATCAACCCAGTTGTGATGTATTACAATAGAGAGAAGAATAAAATGCCAAAGAAGCCATTCATCCTTTTTAATTTCTTTGAAGGTTCCAGAGTCTGGTCCTCCAGGTTTATGTACTTTCAATGAAATTGCTGCAGGGGATCTGGTAAATGGTAGAAATATGAGCAAAAATGGAGGAATAGAGAATACACACCCCTTCAGATGCTAAAACTTCCTTTTGGAGTAACCAGACTCCTGTAAACAAGTTGGACATGACAAGAACAAAGGGGAATTGACTTGAGACAGCTCAGAAAGGCCCTAAATATCAATCTAATCCCAAGAATCAAAACATAGTAGAGATATATTTATATTATTAAATGTTTCTTTCTGGAGTTTCCAGTGTTTCTTTCTATTTGTAGCTGTTGTTTAGTGTTCAGAGGCTCTCAGGAGATGCTGAATTGAACATTTCTTGAAGGAGTGAGAGGCTGGGGATACAGAGTCAACTGTCCATTGAACCAATGGAACAGTCTAGAATTAAATGAAGTAGTGCTGAAATGATTTATAGAGCATCTTAGGAACCCAAATAATTCTGTATTCTCATTTCTTTTCTTAACTTTCTTACTGGGGATTATATTCCTTAAGGAACTACACTACAGGAGAGATAAGTAGAATCTAATTTTAGAACTATAACACATACCAGGTATTTATTTCACTGAAATGTTCAGTAGTAGTAAAGAAGGAAGTACAGAGACAAAGGAGTCTTTTTGATGATTTGTGCCAGACACAATTCTCTATTCAGTAAGCAGCTCTTGTCTTTTTAAAAGTTCTTCATTTTTTTTTTTTTTTTTTTTGGAAAACGTGCTCATGTCCAGTGTGTTGACATGTAAAAGATTTACTGCTGTTTTTGAGAGTTTTGATCTAGGTTTTGTGGGGCCCAATTTTGACCAATGAAAAAAGGAAAGCAATTGGGAGAATCTTCCTCTTTGGGTGAATAGCTAGAGGCCCATGAAGAAAAATAGGGATTAGAAAATCCTTTTTCCTCAACCTCTGGTTTCTTGTGTGTACTCTGCCAAGCCCAGGTATGATTTGGGACTGTGGTAGGCAATTGCTAACATGGTCAGAATGGAAACCTATGAGGGTGAGGTGAGCCTGCATCCCAGTGACATTGTTCTGTAGATGAAGCAGTTCTCTTTAGTGAACTTTTAAAAGGTAGTGGATGATAAAATCAGGTCTTTTGTTCTTCACTTCTGAGGAATGGTTGGAGGTCATGAATGAGTGCAGTTAATAATGAGCATAGTACTTTCTACCCCAACAATCTTCCTATTGTGTAGAGGAGAAAATGAGAGACAAATAATGTTCTTCTGTCTGGAACAGCTTTGTTGAAAATAGCCACATGAAGCTTGCCAGTACTTGATCTAGGGTCAAATAAGTGGAAGAGAGAAATTTAAAAGTACAAAATCATGCCAGGAAGGGGTTAATGGCCCCAAAAGGACATAGAAGGACCAAAGACATGCTGACACAGGAAACATCAGACTTTCAGAGGTTGAGCTCTTCCATGAGGATTCCGTAGTGGTTAATATTTCAGACAGAAACCATCCTTCATCCCATGTCCCTGATTCAGCTCTGAATCTGATTGCTTGATTTAAGCATCTTCTTTGCAGATGCTGGGTTCTAGAACTTTTTGTTAGGTACTCAGTAACCTCTTGAGTTAGGTGGCCTCTACTTTCTATGTATCACTGGAAGCTCTCTTTATCTGACTATTCCTAATGGAAATTGTTTTACCTAATTATCCAAATTCAAATGTATAACTTTATCTCTCTTGCTTAATTTATTCTAATTAAAGTACATTTATTTATGCAGCATCAGCATTTCCTACTCTAGACTACACCCTAACTCAAGTCTTCTGATTGCTTTGGGAAGTCTGAAATCCTTATGTTGGACTACAGCGTTTTCAGTGTTTGGAGCTTACTTGTGAATCTATCCGAGCTTCCTGACTTTGGGTTCCTTTACATTCTGTTCTGTGGCACAGGGAAGTTTTTTACTTATATGCCATCTTCCTTTTGTTTTCTCCCCAAGCTTCTATATGCGTTGTTTATTTATAGTGGGATAGCCCTCCTCTCTTTTTGCCTGCCTATAGACTACTCATGTTTTCTTGATACAGTTTCAGTATTCCACTTCTTCTAACTACCTCTCTAGACTAAATAAGATTTTCATGCTGTGGGTCTCATACTCCCCTGCTCCCCCCCAATAAAAGATATGTCCTTAAATCGGTAATATCAGTTCCTGGGAAAGTAAAATGCTCAACTCCTACCTGAAAACTGAAACTGAATAAGAAACTCTGGAAGCCCAGCAACCTATAACAACTCTTTAAGGTGCTTATGATGAATGCTGAAGTTTTAGTGCAGCTGTTTTATAGAAATAAAATTGAAACATGCATTCATGAGATATCATCTAAAAATGGGCCCAAAATGAACCAATAGAAACTTAGTTATTGCCTGGTAAAATACCTGCATGCAGTAAATGAAGAGGGCAAGAGGCTTTGGAACATTTTATAATACCAAACAACAATACTGAGCCTGCAGTTCCAGAATTCAGTGTTCCTTTAGAGTCTGATGAAGCAGCAGAGTTAAGAGAAAGCCAGCAGACAAACAGTAGCATCAACTTGACTTTAATACTGGTGTTTGATAATGTTCCATCCTGTTAAGTGAGCTACATGCACAGCATAACAAGAATGCAGGGATAGAGTATTGTTGCTTCCTTTTCAGGGATGACTTATGTTTTTCTAGTCTTTCCTTCTCTTTGGGGATCCTTTCTGCCCTCTTGCTCAGTAAGCACATGTGCTGTTTGAGGTCTAATAAGTTATCCCATATTTTGTGGTGTGAATTGTACCATTGTATAAAGCAGCCATTTCTTTTACCCTCAAGAGAGTATCTGTTTCTTCTATCAGTTTTAAGTAATTTTAAAGACATTTTGTAGCAAAAGCATGATTATGAGGAAATTCTGTATATTGCATACTGGCAATCTTTATGACTGTTAAATTGGATGAAACTATAACAATCATTTGAAGAGTGTACAAGATAACTGATATAAACATAAGTATGTTGCTGTGAATGGATGTCAGAAAATTGTAGACAATAAGACAAAACAATCTCACCATATAGATAAAATTTAACATCACAGATGCCGAACTATACAACATGCATTTATGTTATATTCCAGGACATATAGAAACCTAAAGTAACTAACCTTAAACTAAAACATGTTGAGTATATTTCTAAGAAGAATACATACAGTAGCACCTTTTAGTATGAGTGCTACACAATCAGCTGAGGATACTTCTAAGCGATGTCTTGGCATATTGGTAAGCTATAGGAGACATGAGAGTGGTGTGAGATGTTCTTAGCCAGTGAGAAGACCCATTGTTTCATATCATCAGTTTTGGAGAAATTATAGTTGTTTTGTTATCTCCAGTATCCATTTTTTCTCAAAGTTCAAATAAACACTGGTTATATGTCTTTAATACATACAGTATATTTCTTCCAGTGTTTGTGCTGTATATACACAAGAAAGAGACTGTTCACTGAAATACTGTTTTTGTTTATTTTCAAAGTTCTGATGTTAAAACTGTTTTCTTTTCAGTTGAATTATTATGAAAAACAACTGGTTGGTTTCTGCTTTCCCTGGTTTTAGATTCAGTAAGATCTTGGACATAGGTTTGCTCTCAAAAGAGCTTTATGGATCTAGTGATAATGTAATTTCAAACTAAGCTAATAATTATGCAATAATAAAAATTATTTTCATGAGACTTGGTGAATTTTTCAATGTAAATTGATTTGTAATTCATAGAAGAAGTTTAAATTTTATGTTGATAGATGTATCTCGGTGAAAAGTGCCTGACGAAAATTTAGATACTTCTGCTCCTTCTACATATTTTATAATATTTAAATTTATTTAATTTTTTTATTAAAACAGAATCTACAGGCTTTAGGCATCTTGCTTTTGCCCATTGTTATTCTAATAATAAATACTGTTTACCCCAGAATTTAGTATAATTTGCCCATTTCTTTCCATAAAGTAGTATTTTTAACAGAATGCCCCTGTTCTTTGACCTACTTCATACAAATTAGAGTGCAGTTTGCATATTTTAATACCTAATTTTGTTAATAATTTACTGTGCTTTCAGTGACTCAAGCTGATTCTACCTGCCTATTGTATGAATGTTTAACCTCATCTGATTAGTTCTCATCCAGCGAACCATGAGGCCTCTCATCATAACTGTAATTTCTGAGCAGTTGTCAGTCCTTGTTGATAGGTGCTTTGTGTGACTATGTGCCTCTTCAACATAACTAGAGAGACAGCAGGGTTATCTGGAGCCACAGTGGTATGTGCCCAGGTGATATGGCGAGAGGAAGGGGTAGGGAGGAGGGCAGGGAGGAAGAGAGACATACAGACAGATGACAGACAGAGAAACTGAGAGAAAGGCCAGAGCCCC